ATATAAATATAAATAACCAAAGAAATAAACCTAAACAACACCTACTAAAAACTAAATCTTACGGTCTAATCCTGTTTCTTTCCATGGAGGGGCTTAGGACCCAGGGGAATGTAGGTGAAGGAAACAGGAAGTGACGGAACGGAAGACACGCCACACAAACAGCTGTTCACCGCTCGTTGGCCGGCCGTTTCTTTTCGGCGTTAATTAATTAATGCTTTAACGTGAAAAAAAAAATACTGTGATATACTGTGAAACTGCCAGAATCTTACAAAATACCGTCATATGCATTTTTGATCATACTGCCCAGCCCTACCTGATACTGACAGTAGAACCTGATAATAACAGTGGAACCTGATACTGACAGTAGAACCTGATAACAGTAGAACCTGATAATAACAGTAGAACCTGATACTGACAGTAGAACCTGATAATAACAGAACATGATAACAGTAGAACCTGATACTGACAGTAGAACCTGATAATAACAGTAGAACATGATACTAACAGTAGAACATGATACTGCCAGTAGAACCTGATACTGCCAGTAGAACCTGATAATAACAGAACATGATAACAGTAGAACCTGATACTGACAGTAGAACCTGATAATAACAGTAGAACCTGATAATAACAGTAGAACATGATACTAACAGTAGAACATGATACTAACAGTAGAACCTGATACTGCCAGTAGAACCTGATAATGCCAGTAGAACCTGATAATGCCAGTAGAACCTGATAATAACAGTAGAACCTGATAATAACAGTAGAACCTGATACTGACAACAGAACCCGAAGGTGACAGTAGAACACAGTTGAGTTTACCTGAGGTGTTGCTCACATTGTTTTTCACCTGTTTGACTTTAGTCGTCACCTGTTGAAGAAAACAGATTGAGTCAGTTCATCTTTTGGAACATTTAATATTTGATGTTCCATCAACAGAACCATTAACACATTGAATCTTGTTTACTGACCCTTAGAGAACTGAACCCTGATCATCATGACCCTGAATAACAGATTCTGATATCTGTCTAACACTTCACTGGTTTTAAACCAGTATTAACAAACTTACATCAGACACAGATCTTCCCAGTTCATGAGCAATCTTCTCCCAGCGACCCGGAGATCCTCCAGGGAATTTAACCATCAACCTGCTGAGGAGGCTGAGCTCGTCCTCTGTCCAGTCTGCAGTCTGAGGATATAAATAAATAGTCAGTGACATCATCTGTAGCTAACTTTAGTCTGAGGACATAAATAAAGAGTCAGTGACATTATCTGTAGTTCACTTTAGTCTGAGGACATTTAGACTGAATGTCTGAAGACATGTATGAAGATCAGTGATTAAAAGGTTTGTTCTCCATCAGATGTTCTGGTTTTAATCTTCCTGATAAGAACAGTTATCGGACTAATAACTGATGAATAATATCAGACCTTCTTCTTTGCAGCTCCGCGGTCCTGCAGCCAGTCGTCCATCTGGTCTTCGATGTCCTCGATGGACGTGGCCTGGTCATAACCTGGACTGTTCAGGTTCTCTGAAGACAGCTCGTAAACAGGGAACTCCACCTTCGGCTTCTTGACCTTCGGCCTCTTCTCTCCTGAACAGACAGGAAGTTCAGTTACATCTCATGGCTGAGACAGGAAATACAAACATGTGGTGCTGTGGAAGCTATTATAACCCATATTCATACAATATTCATACATTATAACTAGTGCTGGGCAAGTTAACACGTTATTATTGCGTTAACGCATTAATTAATTAACGCCGACAATTATTTTATAGCGCGTTAATGCAGTTTTTTAAAAATTATTAAGTGGACATATTTAACAGAAGAACCGGGCGGCCGACCGGCTGGCAGCGAGCAGTGAATAGCGGTTTGTGTGGCGTCTCTTCCGTCTCTTCCCGTTTCCTTCAGCTACATTCCCCTGGGTCCTAATGGTGCGTTCACACCAAACGCGGCGCAAATTATTTGCGCAAGTAGTTTACATACAAAGTCTATGCACAGACACGATGAGACTGGAGTGACTCGAATTTGCGATGGCACGGCGCGATTGACGCGAATTCGCCACAAATGCGTGAGTTGAAAATTTTGAACTTCGGCAAAATATTCGCATTACGCCCCAGCGCGATAGCCTGTCAGCGTTGAGATGTTTCTCCTGTCATCACTGACTTCCTGCCGATGTTGAATCAGGAAATAAATACTGTAGCCGTCTGTGTTCACCCAGAGCTCTACGATACCTCATATCAATAGAGACCGGACCAAACTATGTGTATACATGTGTGTGTGTAAACCATATGGTACAAACAATGAATAGACGCTGCCGTATTTACGTCTACATGACGTTATTCTGACTGTTGGTGGAGCTGCTACAATGTTAGCATAGCCTAGCATTTCCGAGCTCCATTGAGAAGACAAGTACAAATCGGCATCATTACGTAGTTATTTTGGAGTCCCTTTTTGTCGGTTTATGACCGTTAAATCACAGCCAAATCAGTTTGTTTTGTGTTCATACAGCTGTAGTATGACATGACGGCGTTTAGTTTCCCAGGATATCTGTGACTTCCACAACACGTACTAAGCAGAAATAGGTTATTTTTTCCATGGTTAATGGCGGACAGTTGAACGGCTTTCAGGGCGATAAGCCACGCCCCCTCTCCGACGCGTCCAGCGCGATTCACGCGAATGAACACAAATAGTCCACGGCGAGACCGGCGGCGCGAATGAAGCGAATACGCGGCGCGAATGATTCGCGTTTGGTGTGAACACGGCATTAGACCCTCCATGTACCAACGTACATTTATAACAAATACCACACATATTACGGTAATCAGCGTTGCATATGTGTCTGACCACAATACCAAAAAAATAAATGATTCATTTAAATTATTGTTTTAGAGTTTTTAAAGTGTTTTGTATAATAAGCATCATTTAGTATCACTACTGAGAATTTAACAAACATAAAAACATGACGTAGATAGGTTTGCAGTTTTCAAGAAGTATATTTAAATATCATCTATTACACACATGAAGATAAAGTTGTGAACACCGGCTGAATATCTATGATCAGAATCATTATAACTGTGTTATAACTGCTGCTGTGTAAAGGGAATACTGCTGCTAACAACAACCTGATGTGTTTAAAGTGTTTAAACCAAATGTTATTGACCTGTTGTTCATATAGCAGTACTTCAAAATAAAAGTGCACAATACACTACTTTTGAATTCATTGTTGAACTTTGCCATAACAATGAGATTAATCGTGATTAAACATTATAACCCATATTCACATACAAGTTAAATTTTTTTTTAAAAGTATTTACTTGTTACAACTTCCTGTTCTGCTTCAGCTTCTTCTCTCAGCTGCTGTTTCATCTGCTGGTAGTCCTCATAGTACTGCTTCACCTCCTGAAACACAGAAAAGGACATTTACAAATCTAAAGTCAACATGTGACTGTGCAGCTGGATCCGCCTCACATCACGTCCACTTTAAACCATTAACGGTCAAAGCAGAGCTCCTCAACAAGAACAGGACGTTTAGTGAGACAGAAGAGGACGTTTAGTGAGACAGAAGAGG